TAATCACAGTTTGTTTCCCTCTCAATCTTTAAAGGTAGGGTCTCACTATGTAGCACTGTCTGGCCTGCTGACTCCCACTCACAGAGATCTGCCTGCCTCTGGCTTCTGAGTGCTGTGATTACAGGCGTGCGCCATCACACCTGGCTTGTTTCTTATTTTTAAAATAAGAGCCATGTTTGTTAGTTTAGACTACCTTATGACTGTGTTCCTAAATCCAGTGCACTTTTCAGAACACCACATAGGACTTTTAACTCCCACAGCAGCAGAAGTTCACAGACACTTCTTTTTGCAAATAAATAAATAAAAATCCTGTTTACTAAATAGGACAACCTGAATTTCTCTTTCCTAATCACTACCATGAACACATTTTAAATGAACAGGAATTCCAGAATGGCAGTGCACAACTAGGGGGTAAAATGGCAATCATGGTAATGGCTGTTCCTCTGCAGCCATCTCCTCAGCTCTTCCTGACTGGGCACTCCCTCTCATGTGGTATTTGAAAAGCACAACCTCTGAGGAAAAGCAAGACAGAAGTTCCTGCTGTAGAAGATGTTTACAAGATCCAGGACTCCTTATGGAGGGATGCCATGAATATCCAACATCCACATTCTACCTGAGCCCCCACCATCTCCTATGAGACCCCTACAGTGACTATTTAAGTGATTTTCCCTCCTCAATTAAGACATCCTCTTTATTTATTTATGTGTGCATGCTCTCGTGTGGCAAAAAGAAGACTTAAGGTAACCGTTTTGGTTTCCATGTGGCTGCAGGGATTGAACTTGGGTTGTCTGTTATACATCGAGTTATGCACTGAGTCATCTCACACATTTACCATTGCCTTTAGCAAGTGTCTTTACACACTGAGTCTCAGGACGCTTCTAACGCTTGTCACTTGGCTAATCCTGAATTACAGCCCTGGCTGGATGTCTTCTTGTTCAACAGCTCCAAGTGCCTACAGCATGCCATGGCCTTCTGGAGTTTAGGACTCAAGTCTCCCATGTAACCTCAGTCTATTTTCCAACATATTCTATTATTTGATTTCACATTCCTCTCTTCCTCTCCCAACTGCTACACTTTCTTTTTCTTCTGCTGTTTTAGTTTATACTATTCTCATGTTCTGCGAAACCATTTTTAAGCATACAGAGTCTCGCTATGTAACCCAGAATGGCTGGGCTCATGATGCTCTTCTCTCACCTTAGCCTCTGTTGTTGGGAGTATGTGCTGCCACACCTGGCAGCATAATACATATTTTAAAGTCCAACCAAAGAAATGAGGTATACATTCACGTTCATTGGACTGAGATCCCCACGACCAGGGCATAGGATCACCCAAGCATTTGTCAGTGGACGACGGGATAAGAAAAATGAATCTTACCTACAAGCTGTGCTAATATACAAACCAGCACCAACCAGTGATGACATAGGTAAACATGGAGAACTTTGTTAAGTAAAACAAGCCAGGTGTTCAAAGTAAAATATCACGTGACTTCACTTAACTATGGATTTAAAAAAAAAAACAACTTATCTCACGGAAACAGAGAGTAGGATGGTGGTTACTAGTGGTGAGGTTAAGAAAATGTAGGTCAAAGGCTCCAAAATTTTAGTAGATTGGGCAAATAAGCACAAGACATAATTAGATTGTAATTAAAAATAATGCCTTCAGTCTTGAAAATCTCTAAGAAGTTTTTGTTTGCTTGTTTTGTATTATGTGTTTAGTTAGGATATTGTTATGTAGCTCAGGATAGCCTTAAACTCACTATTTTTGTCTTTGGCCTCAAAGCTAGGATTATAGACATGCAGCACTCGAGGAGATTTCAAATAATCCTAGCACACACATAAAACAACAAAAACTATGTGAAGGAATGCATGCCGTCTACTTTGGGTTAGCTGTCCCATAATGTATACATATTCCAAAAAAAGATGTTGAATCTGGTAAATACAAACACTTTTCATTTGTCAATTCAAAAATTAATAACTTAATAAAGAAATAAATCCCATTTTTGTTCATAATCATCGATGATGGACGATGCCAGAAGCTGGAATGTATGCTAGAGGCTGTGATAACATAAATAAACTCCCAGCGTATGCCAGGATTCATCTAAGCATTTCAAGTGTTAATCCTTCCAGGATGAAGACCAGAAGAACTGAGATCTGCCTGACTTCTGTGCTTGCACTTCCACACTGTGCCACACACTGCTGCAATGGTCTGTCACTGTGGCCAAGTGTGCTGCATAGCAATGCTAACAACGCTATAGAAATATGTATAGCTGTGCACTCTCCTGACTTAGGATGTGACTCTCATTTACTCCCTTCTGATATACTAAGAAGAGCCTTCACAGAGAAAGAGAGGCTCTGGGAGTTAACTGCCTTTACCAAGGTCACATGACCAGCAGGCACCTGGTGGAAAGAAAGGCAAGCACTCAACAAGTATTACACTCCCAGGTCAATACTCTACTAGTAGATTTTCTTTGACTGTATTAGCACATAACTGTATAAAGTAATTTGCTAGAACTATGTCAAATATTAGAACTTACTAAATATTCGCCAAATAAGGGAAGGAATGTGAGGTGTCACTAGCATGCAATAGAAATCAGGCAGAATTACTGTTGCCAGGTTCAACTTCACCGTGGCATGGCTGCACTTCATGTATGGTTTAAACTGGTTCTTTTTGCCATATAAAATAACAAAAATTATGCTTACAAATTATGCTTGATCACTACCAGAAATGCCTATGGGTAAAGGCAGAGTGATTGGCATGGAGGCAAATAAGAAAGACAGAGTGGTAAGGAGAGCTCATAAACATCACTCCCACAGGAGGGAGCTCTAGATGACAGTCACTAGAGCCATTGGGGAGAGAGCTAAGGGCCCTGAAGGATGTACTTCAAGCAACAACACTGTACAGAAATTGCAGAGCCTCACTCTTTTAAAGGAAACTATTATCTTTCTACAAACACTTAGCTGTGATTTAATTATCTTTCAAAGAAAGATGGCATGCTACAACTGATGCAGCTGCTCTGACAAGAATCTTGAAAATTACAGGTGGCGTCATTTCTACTTCATAAATATTAGCAGCCTGCTTTATTTAAAGGGCAAAATCAGGCCAGTGTGCTCACCTTCAATCCCAGCACTCGAGAGGCTGAGAGACCAGCCTCCAGACTGTTCTATAGATGTGTTCTAGGCTAGCCAAGACTACATACAGAGTGAGGCCATGCCTCAAAAGAAAAAAAAGGGCAAAATCAGCCTTCTAAATGCCCATAAGACAATGATGCTCTTTTGAATGACACCAAGCTACTTTTTATGGCTAACTACTGATTCAGTGAGATTAAGACATAAGAAAAAAAATTTTTTTTTACAGGTGACTAAATTCTTTTTCAATAATGGTTAACCATTTTTGTGATTAGCACATTTATGTTTAAAGTGAATTGAGATAGCTAGTTTATGCTATAAAGATTGAGTTAAAGTTCAAATAAATAAAACAGTTCACCTGTGCTGAACACTGCTTTGTGGCATGAGTTGTACTAAGGTACTCACTCCATGACAAGTGCACGGGGCTTGGTGGTCACGGTCAGGTCTGCACAGACTGAAGCTGACTGGCGCACCTGTGCATGGGCCCACGGGTATATGATACAGCCTCTGTGTCTCTTCTCAAGGCTGATAATAACAACACTGCCTCTCAGCCTGTGTAGGAGTCGTGAAAGGAATACCGGAAGTACCCAGACAGGGCCTGACACGGCTAGCAGCATCCTCAATCTCCTGTCAAGTGCCGTCCCACGCAGGAAGCTGGAGACACCAGCTGGCTAGGGACATACTGAAGAAGCCATGTGGTTGATATTCACAGTCATTCCAGACAGCAGGAGACAAATGAAACCACTGTGCTTTTATACAGCTTGGAATAACCACCTGTGGTCTCAGTCATCTTCTGGGGGGAGGAGTGGTGTCTTAGAACATATTCTGTACATTAACTAGTTAATCTTAGCAATGAAACAGAAGCTACTGTCATTATTCTGCAAAAAACTAAAATGTGGGTCAAAGGGTTATTGTACCCCTCAAGGCTTATGCTGCACAGTTGCAGGATCTGAACTGGTAGTCTGGCTATGGAACTGTCCCTCTGACACCATGTCTACTATCTATTCCATGTCTTTCCTCTCCATTGTCCCCCCAGTCTCTTGGTGTTAGGCACAGAACCCAGGGCATGCCAGGCGCTGATTCTACTGCTACATCTCCAGACCCTTTGAGGTCTTAAAGTTAAAACAAAACAAAACCTTAATGTTTGCAAGGCTGATGAAATCATGATTGAAACAATGTTTATAGCTACAAATGTGTAAGACAATAGCTGGTCAAAACAGGTAAAAATCATAAGTGGAATAGCGTTGGATTCGATGGTGACTGCCCTTGATTGGATTCGGAGTGGGGCTAGTAAAGCACACCTCAGGGTGTGAGGATGTATGAAGACAATGGACCGGTGGAGGAGAAGCTGAGGGGGAAGTCAGCAGCTGTCCATGAGACGAGTGTGCAGAAGGAAGAGGGAGAGGGAGACACCAGCCCACAGGCACAAGGGCCTTTCTTCCTGACAAGTGTCTCTCACTGCTGTGTTGCCCTGAGGACAGCAGAGTTCAGCAGCTTCTGTCTCACACCAGTTCCTCAAGGGTTTTGACCTTCAGTCAAGGCCTGGGACTACACAGCAGCCCCCTTATTCCGAGATTTCCAGATTTGTGGGTTGATTAGCTGAAGGATTCTTTGGGTTTTCAATAATAAAAAGCCACTGCTAGACCATCCAGTAGATCTAAGGAACTTTGTAACTCTGAAGAGGTAATACCAGTGAGTTGATTATAATACATTTAATACCACTTTATATCTTATAATATTTTGTTTACCTCAAATTCTTTCTATCTTAGACATGGAAATTTGCTAGTTATCAGATATTATGTACCTAAAATTCAAAAAGTAAGGTTTTATGGAAATGATAAAACATACTGAGTGCATTTTTCCAAATAACCTTACCTCAACAGGTGACGGGGAGCTGGATGGTGGCAGGAAGGGAGCGACAGCCATCTGATGGACTGCATCTTCATGTCTGTGAAATGGCGAGCGGAAGAATCAGTACTTGAAAAAGGTTAAGTTCCTGACACAAATTACAAATACCTCCTTAGTTTTCAGTTAAAAACGTGTGCATAACACCACAGAATTAAACATGTATATGGAGAGATCGACACACAAAACTCTTACACAAAGACAGGTGTTGCACTTGAGAGATACCCGGATACAATTACTAATGACGAAGAATGGGAATGCCAGGAGTCAATAAATCGGGCTTAGGACATCTGATGCTGTAGGAGATAATTTTGGAAAGGTGTCAACTCTTTCGATATTGTGGAATGTCAGATTTTCAAATGGCTGGGCACCGCCTCTAGGTCCCACTCATGTTCACAGAGCTATGTTCTTTGGACTGGAAACATTCCCAGCCCCCTCATTTGTCTTCAAACTTTGTTTTGCGAATGAATGATGGATGGGGAGCTCTGGGAAGATGATGCCTTGTGGTTATGTGAATGCTGCCTGTCATCTCAAATGAGCAGAGCAAGGAGGAGCTAGCATCTAATCAGCAGGGGGACAGGAACACAACCATGGCTAAAATGCCAGTTCTGATTATCTGGCTCATTTCCGTGTTGCCAGCGGACAGTAGGCAGTGCTTTGTGGAAGATAATGACTGTCACCCACTATTCACCCATCATGCAGGATCAATATAATTAAGCTAGGATTTACTTATGTGAAGTTTTATCTTTCACAAATAAAGGCATGAAAACTCACAAATATTACCAAATGTTATGTGACTAAAAATCACATATTATGTGAAGTAATATGGTTTAACATGTGAAAGCTGGTGATGTAGTTCAATGCTAGAACATTTGCTAACCACATGTGAGGGCCTGAGTTCGATCCCAGCAGTAATAAGGGAAAAATAAACAAACGTAAGGCCCCATATGTCTTTCCACATAGAAAGGTGATTTACCTGACTTGGCAGCTGAGTAACAAGTCCACTGGTCCATGTCACTCCTACTTCAGACTTCAGTCATAGTCCTGTCCCTACGTCCTTGAAAGGCCTGTCTTTAGCCAATTTATAAAGCTTACCCATACTTCTCCGTATGATTCAATAACCTCAACAAGATGACTGGCTCCTCTAATAGGGCCACATTTACCTTTATTACACTGACATACCCGGCTGGGGTCTCCTGAGTTCACCATCTGCACATTGTGTAACTCCCCACTTTAAGGGTCTCTACCGCATGTCTGACAAGCATCGTGAGAAAAACAGAGCTCAGTCTCCCACTTAGTCTCCAGAAGGCTCTGTAGCTAATTCTCACCTGAGTGCTCATGAAGACTTGCCCTCCTGTTCAACCAGGAACTAAAAGCCTTGGAAAATTTGGTCTGCCAGTACACGTTGATCTTATCGGCCCCACGATTCTCTCATCCCTTCCTTACCACTGAACCTGCTCTTCCTCCCTGTAAGCCCCTTTCCTACTTTCATACCTACCTGTGTGTGTCCAACTATATTTAATTAGGATCACTTGCATAAACACAGGTGGCCAGCTGAGTATTTCTAGAAAAAAAAACTCATCTCTCAGTGGTAAATCCATTTCATGAATAAGTCTTGTGATTCTATATTCAAAATACATCTTTAATCTCTTCACTGCTTCCCAGCCTACCCTATATGCTGGCCACCACCATTTTTAACCCCGACCAAAAACAAAAAAGATTTTTATTTGATTTTCTGTCTTTATGTTTCTTAGCATCTTCACTGAAGTCCATTCTTCACCCAGCAAAGTTATGATGGTTTTAATCAGTAAGCCTGACTATATTAATCACCACCCTTGCCTCTCCTCTGTCATCATCCTCTTCTGTCTGGACACAGGGTTTTATGTAGCCCAGGCTGACCTCAAACTTCCTACACAGAGGAGAATGACCATGGACTTTTAACTTTCTTACATAATGTTATTATACTTCTCTTCTGGCTTTAAATCATCCTGCAGGTTCTTATTACATTGAAGAAGCAGTCTACTGTGTTACTCCTGGGAGGAACCTAGCTGTGGGGCTTTGGCAAAATCACTTCTCAAAGTCTTTGTTTCTAGACTGTTAATGGAAGCAGACTGAACTATCAGAACCCTAAGATGGAGAATAATCTTTGAGAAATGAGGCTGAGCATAAGGAAATAAAGGGGTTGAGAAGATGGATAAGTTGATAAAGTGCTTGCCATACAAGCCTGAGGACCTGAGTTCGGATCCCCAGTATCTAAGTAAAAGCTTGTGCCTGTAATCTGCTGGGAAGGTGGGGACAGGTGATCCCTGGAGCCCCATGTCCCTTTTTTTGGATTGCCTAGTACTTGAACTAAATCAAAACAAGTGTGAGAAAATCTACAACTATAAAGTGCTATAGAATACGGAGAATTTGTTTTTTTCTGATAGCATTACTGATGCCGTGAACATACCGCACTTATGTATGTAGAGAGGACTACAATCACAAGAGTACAATCCAGTATTTAGTAGTTGCTCACACACACAAAAAGCAGTCAGCTAACATGGAGTAAGTAACAGATTTTCCCAGTGGTAACTGCCCTTCCCATTCTGTTTTCCCCAATGAATAACGCAACAGAGCTCAATGGAGCTGTGAGCAAAAAGCCAAGGGGACACACCTGCTCCAGATGTGGCGCTCACAGGGCAGGGAGCACTAGGAAGTACCTAAGTAGATGGCTCTCCCTTTCTCTCTCAGAGGCTACAAGCATTGAAAACATGGCTGCACATATATTTTGAGGTCATGATTAATTGTCTCGGGACGGCTTGAATCAGGCAAGTTATCTCTTTAAAATTTAATGATTTCCTTCAAATTAATATGACTTCAATGCCATTTAAAATCCACTGATTTTTTTTTAACCTCACATAGTAGAAAACCTACAAGTACTCTTAATGGACATAAGTTACAATTCATAGTCTTTTATAATCCACTTAGTAGTGAGTTCACACAGCCCCATCAAGTTGTGAAAAGTGGCACCATAGTGGCTTCAAAAAGGGAAGACACAGAAGGAAAACAGAAGAAAAGGATTGGCCCTGCAAACAAGCCGTGGGCCAGGTGATGTCTGCGGAGACTTCAAGCCCTCAACAGTCTAAGATTCTCCTAAAGAACCAAGTCTGTTTGCTTTATAATCAAACTTTTAAACAATGGTGAAAGAGTCTGAAGCGCCCATATGAGATACCACCTGGAGTTTCAGGTGTTTGTATTTTTATAATTATCCTAAGCACCGATAGAGAGAGAAGACGATAAAGTTCCACCACAGATGAGAGTTATTCCAGGGTACATTTCCCTGTGTGTACTGCAGTGACTCCAATCCCTGGGGACTGTGTTCGAAGACACCTATTGGATGCCTAAGACCAAAGTAATAGACCCTATTGATACTGTTTTCATATGCACCGCATTCTAGTTTCCTGTGTGTTGCTATGATAAAAACGCTCCGACCAAAAGAAATTATGGGAGGAAGGATTTATTTGGCTTACACTTCCACAACACAGCCCATCATTTAGGGAGTCAGGGCAGGAACTCGAGCAGGAATTTGAATCAGAAACCACAGGGAAATGCTGTTTGGGGCTCATGGTTAGCGAGCTTTCTTAGAAAGCTCAGGACCACTTACCAAGAGATGGTGCTGCCCACAGTGGACTATCAATTAAGAACTAAGACAATTGAAATTCTCTTCTCAGATGACTCTAGTTGTGTCAAAATGATAGTTAAAGGTGACTAGGACACATGGATATCTAGGATGGTTTCAGACACAGTGAGAAATCAACACAACATAGGACATTAACAAGATAGTTATGTGAATAGGCTATCATTTTAAAGAGCAAAGGCAAATGTTAATACTTGTAGACACTGACTGACAGCTGGGTAACTGAGACGGTGGCTAATGGGCAGGAAATGTCCCATCTCTGCACCTGCTGTGCCCTATGACTGCTGCTTGAGCTGTTCTTCTGCTACAAGCACAGGGACAACATCTTATTTCTTTGAAATCCCAGTTGGTAGCAGACCACTTAGCAAGAGAGTATGCACACTACAATGTCTACAGAATGAGTGACTTTAGAAAGGACGGAATGGAAGGCAGTGTGATTAAGCTAAGTCCTGTGCTTTCCAATCTGCTCCAAGAGTCAATCACAACACGCTGCTTGCAGTCACTTCCCCACGTGAAGGACATTCCATGGTATGTGTCCAGCTCATAGGCAGCACCTGGATGGCACATCACATCCACACTAGCTAACACAAACAGCCTGCCTCACTGAGTGTATGGAGCAGATAAGTACCTTTGGAGCAACCACATCCCAGAGTCTCAAGTTTTAGAGCAGATACACAAAGCTCAGTAGTGTGTCATCAAGACACTGCCAAAGGCAATCCTCCAGTTATTACAGAGCTCACAAACTCCTCTGGAGATGCCCTGGTGCATCAGGACCACCAGTTTATAAAGTACTGGGACAGAATCTAGGGCTTTGTGCATGCTAGACAAGGACTTTACTAACAAAGCTACACCCCAAGTCTGTTTTTCTTTTAATTTAAGCTGGTTAGAGTTTAATTGGTTGAAGCTCAATGATAGCACTCATTTTATTTTGAATATGTACATATATTTGACACATGTTTACAATATGAATATAAAAATGAATAAAACATGATTGCCGACTTGATATCAGCAATTAGCGGGAAACACAGCAAACAAACAGAAAATTACAATTGTCGAATTACTACCCTGGGGCTGTCAGTTTAGTTTTTCTCAATAGGATATTAAGAACACTACTAATCCAGTCTCCTATTTGTAGAATATATTTATAGCAAAATATATTTTGGATCCTGATTTAAATTCCCTTCTGCTAAAAAAAAAAATACACTCATGGGGCTGGGAAGACAGCTCAGAGGGTAAGAGTATCTGCTGCTCTACAAGTATAAAGGCCTGAGTTCAAATCCCCTGCAGTCACACGAAAAGCTGGGTGTGGCTGCGCATGCCTGCAACCCTAACATTGAGGAGTGGAGAATTCCAAGAGCTTACTGGCC